GAAAGTTGTTTGTGTATATTTTAGAAATAAAAAAATAAATAAGAAATAAAAAACAATACATAGGCTTTTATTTCTTTAATCAAAGAAGTGTAAATTAAGCTACCTATCAAAAAATATCAAAATATGTTTTAAAAATTGGAAACCATTACATTTGCTTTTCTTGTTCAAATATTATTAGACAAAATTTATGATTCAAATGACAAACACAAAATTGTATTTTCTGACTGATTTTAATCCAGAGAAAATTCTTCAAATTTGAGAATATGAAAAAGAGTTATTTCACAATTCAAATGAAACAAACCAGATATATATAGGGCTATATTCTCATAAGTTGTTAAAGGATAACAAATTTAGGATATTAAAATATGAACAAACTTAAGTACAATGAAAATATATACTTATTTGTACTTTAAACAGATTTTAAGTCTTGATCAAGGAGCTCAGCAAACAGACAAATTTATTTAAACCAACTAAATAATCATACAAAAATGTTTAATAAAAATAATTGCTTTTAAATCAATTTACCTTAGGACTAATTTTTTAATAAACTTATTTCAGAATTTTGCCACAGATTGTAACATAATGGTCTTATCTGTTCATTAATAAATTGATCATCACATGAGAAAACAAAACTTAGATCTTTATTATTGGTTGATGAGTTAAGTGTTAAATGATTATGAGAAAAATTAAGCTCAATACAATGAATTATTTTTCTTTTACAAGTGTAACTTTAAAAAAATTAAACCTGCTATAGATGCAAACATTTCCATTTATGTTATAACTTCATTTAAAATATATTATAAATTTTAAAAAACTACTAATATTATTTTCACACCTTTTAATATAACAAAGTAGGCATAGATTTTCATGTAAATTAGTAATGACTGAACACCACAGTAAAAACTAATTTTACAAAAGTTTACATGCCATTCTATTTTTAGTAAACAGCATAATCATTTTTGTCACATCAAAATCTAAATGAACCATATAATGCCAAGCATAACTTTCTTTTGGCAAAGTTTAACACAACTGCAAAATAATGATTTTCTTGCAAACTCATGATTTTTTATAAATTACTTTTTCTCCCTCAAAGAAAAATCCTGTTTATTTTTTTTAAGCAAATTCAAATTGGATACAGAATCACTTAGTCTTAAAATAGAAAACACCAAATACCTTATATATATGTCACAGAAAATAATATATTCAAGATATATAATTTTACCATAAGTTAAAATATACTAGACAGGCCATCTGAAAAATGTGTTCAAGACTGAAACAGACTGTTGCTACCCAATGGTGACTTCTCATTTATATATATAAATGTGTGTGTGTGTGTGTGTGTGTGTGTGCTGCTATACGATAAAAATAAGCTTCAAGAAAATTGATTTATTAAAGTGTTTTAAACTGCTGCTATGTAATACAAAATGTTTCTTATTAGAGTAAGGGAGAGAACTCTGTTACAACAATTCATTAAAAGCTGAATGCACTATGAAAAAGTATGAAATTTTAAATACAAGTAAAATAAAAAGGTTGGAAAATAATTATATATGTAAATTATAGTTTAACTATTTAGGGATTCTTTCAGTTCAATATAATTTTTAATTAGAATTATTATATATCCATTGAACTTTTTTTTGTTAGTAATCAGTAAAACAGACGAATATATCATTAAGTTTGATACTTCTTATTAATGGTCATGATATTTTGGAATGGAGTTTTTTAAAAAAAAAAAAAAAAAGCAATTTCTTTAGTTAGCAACTACAATACAAAATTAAAAGCATTTTAAAACTCCCAGAAATAACATGCTAAAGATGCAATATATTTTATATCTCACGTTGTGTTCCATTGTAAGCATAAACTTGATTCTAATTGTAATTAAATACATTATTATAAAAAGTATTTTATACAGTATGGTTGGTGATTTCTTTTTTAATAATTTAATAAGTTTTCACATTTTACTAGTAATACAAAAAAGCTATTATATTCAGTTTGCAAATTTATTGTATACTTGTGAGGGTAGGCTTAACTAAAACTTTACTATTATTATGTAGAATAGAAAATTACATTTTAGTTCACAAAAACTACAGCAACAATACTTTTTAGCACACCTTAAATAAAAAAGAATACATTAGCATATATATATATATATATATAATTGTGGCTTAAAGAAAAAAGCAAACTCTGAAAGAAAATTTAAATTTAGAGCAGTTTTCAAATAAGGTTAATTGTTGAAGTGTAGTTAACTGTTCTTGGGACTATCAAAAGCTGTAAAAAAGATCTAGAAATGCTTAAAGATAACTTATCACTAATCAATTAATCATAAATGACCAAATAGAAACATTTTTAAACTGAAAACATAAAAAATCCTTAAGTAGGAAGAGCTTATGTTTAGTCTTGCATATGAATAAATTAAATAATATAAAAAATTAAGGAACTTTTTACAAATTACATTTTATATAAGCAATTTTTTTCACTTAGTTAACATTTTGAAAGAGGAATCAATATCTACATTTCTTTCTTCAACTTAGCAACAAAATATTTTATCAAGGGACTTTGTATGCATAAAATACATGGTATTTAAAAAAAAGAAAAATGATTTGAAAATATTTTTGTGAATTTCAGATTGAGTATTTTTTTTATTAGTAGTAATTTACTAGTTTTAAATTATTTTAAAGTATTTTTTATTAGTAGTAATTTTACTAGCTTTATGTCATTATCATCATCATTGCTTTTTATCTTGATAATCTGGGTTGGTATCCTCTTTGTAAATAGCATGAAATTAAAACTAAAGTCAGGTCTGACATCCCCTCTTGCATATCTTAATAAGGAAAAGAATTAATCTAAAATTTAAAAAAATAGAAACTATTGCTAGATAGTAAAACAAAAAGAAAACAGAATAACTACAGATTTTGTTCCACTTAGCCATTTTGGTTGTAGAAGCATTAAGTCTATGAAATATGAACTGAAAAAGTGTAAGATATGAGTTCAAATCTCATTGAAAGCTATCTACTTATTTTCAATTTTGCATTATTTGCTGTAGTAGTTGAAGAGTATATTGACAGTGTGTTACAATAAAAAGCAACAAAGACAGATTAAAACTCCTAAAATAATAATAAACTTCAAAATAATTTTACTAAAATTATATTTTTTAAAGTCATTTTTATTTATTAAAGAAAGATTCTTATAAATATAAGATATTTAAATTTGATTACATTTGAGATTATGCTGAAATCTCAGAGTATTTAAAAATTAGTATTGGAGTTTTTCATTTGGTATTTTAAGACACCCAAATTTTATGATAAAACTGTTACATTCTTATCATTTTATAGAGACTGTGTGACAACTAAATATATTGTCACTCCTAAATGAATAGCATTATGAGTAGATTATCAAAGCTAAATGTACTGCCATTACTTTTTTCTCAATTTTTATATTAGAATAGATCTGTTTATTGTATATAGTGAATACTAAAAAACAAATTAAAATTATCTCATACATTTTTACAACTTTACAACAATATGTAAAGATATTTACAAATAAATTGTTAAATACTTTTCCAAATTTAAACCTTTATTAAACAATTTTCAGATTGACCAACTAGTAGAAACAATTTTACTATGGATTTTTAATACATGAAATTAAGTTATCATTATTACATAATATTTAAAATACAGACTGTTTTCATGTTAACACATCAATTCACTTTTCTTATTTAGGAATCTATTGTGAAGAAAATTACATTTCTATTTATCCATTATATGAAACCATATTCTATAAGGGGTGCTGAAAAGTTCTCAGACCAACCAAGAATTCCAAAATAATTTCTAATGTTTAGTCAAATTTTTGGAAATAAGCCAGCTCACAACTTTTCAACATCCTCTCATATATATATATATATATATATATATATATATATATATATATATATATATAGGGCACTGGTTGTTAGCTTTTATTTCTTAATTTATTTAGTTTATAGATAATTCTATAAAGTATTCGTTAACTCCAAAACTAGAAAAAAATTCAACTAACTAAAAAGCTAAATTCCAAGATCAGTTATGTACACTACAACACAAAACAACCAAAAAAAGGTATCACATGTCCACAAAGAAACAAGGTATCAAATATCCACAAAGCTATAAATAAAACAACCCCTGAAAATGTTAATTCTCTTTCAATATTCTGTTTCTGTAGGAAAGTGACCTGTGAATTGGAAAAAAAAAAAAAAAAAAAAGCAAAAGCACATTAAATTTTAATTAATACTTAAAAAAAAAATACATTTTTGTGAAAACCATTTCTGCCTTGCCTAGCACCATGGTTATATAACAAAGATATATATTACACACACATATGCATTCATAGAGTATGTTGAGTTTATTATTGTAAAAATGAACATATTGTGAAAAGAATTGAAATCATTTAAAAAGATCAAAGTAACTGAGTCTCATACTGAAAATACCCAACTGAATGAAAATTGTAATTATTGTGTATGTAATGTGATACTAATAGCATAAACTCTTAATTGACTCAGTCATATTAACTAGCAGTACCCATGAAAATTTCCCAGTTTTGATATTTGAATTTTTTAATGAATCATAATTCTTAAGTAAATGATTGAATAAGCTGCTTGCAAGCTTTATGACTATGAAAAAGCCATGGAAATTGCCCTATTGCATCATTAAATATTTGAGCCTAAGAACTTCAACCAAATATTGCAATATCGATTATGAATGTAGGTCATTATTTAAAGAAGTAAAGGGGTACAAATGAAAAGATTTGAAACTGACAAGTTTCCCATTTTACTGAGGCAGATGTATTGCCTCCTCTATCTTCTTTCTCTTTTTTTAACTGAAACCTAACAGTGCCTCTGATATGTCTTGTAGTCCAAAAGAGTGAGTTATGAACTAAGGTATTGGTGCATATTAGAAAAATATCAGCACAATCATCATGTTCATTCAGATGATCAATTACAGTATGAAACTGAGAGACTTTTGAGTTTATCAAAGACACGTTACATATTTTCCAGTTCTGAAGAGCATATATTTGAAGACTGACTTACCTGGATGTGCAGATGATGACCAATGGGATGTGGATGTTGCAGCAATGGATATGTCAGCAGTATGATGCAGAGTGGAATTACCATCAGGTTCTTCAAGATTTACACTGGCATTTATTTCATCAGCCTATTATAAATAATATAAAAATTTAGAAATAAAATAATATTTTTTTTATCTTCCAGTTATGAAAGTGAAAGACAAATACAATAAATTAATATATATATATAAAATAAAAAACAACTTTTCATTATAAAAAAAAAAAAGAAAGAAAAAGTAATATGATAAAATTGTCATACTTGCTTGAGATTTTACTCATGCAGAAATTTTAGTATCAGGATTGAATCCTGAATGAAAGGCTGAGAAAAAATAACGATGCTACAAAACAAGAAATTGACATAAAAGTTGTTAATTATAGGCAAGAAAAATTAGCTCCATACCATTCAAATTAAATATTTCTTTTTAAAAATTAAGTAAATTCTAAGCAAATAAATTCAACAATATAAATAGGTGAAAAGTGAGAAAAAAAACAATTTCCGTGATAAGAAATTTATTTCTAAGAAACAAAATTGTAAGATTTTAATCTAAATATATTAAAATTAAAAAAAAAAAAAGAAAGAAAATTGCCAAAAGGAAAAATATAGTCAGTTTAAACAAAAAAATAAAATTTAGGTTTTCCAAGTTCAAAAACATCAAGAAAACAATACATAATAAAATGCATTCTTCAAAGTAAGCTTTCTATTGCATTAAAGAGCATTGATGATAAACTATTAAGTTTTACCACATGAAATATTGTTTTTGACAGGAAAAAGATATGCTTTAAATCAAAATATGGATTTACAATTAATGTAAATGATCCATTTATTATAAGTAACAACACATTTAAAAAAAATATGAGCCATTATTATTGATGGGCATGATGAAAAAATTCAAAGAACTTTACTGAAACATTTTGAACTGTTATTCTAGGCTTATCTTCCATAATTTTTCTTGATTATTGATGATGTTCATGAGCCTTTACCAAGGTTCATACTGAATATTCATCTGTAGAGTGAAATCGCCATTGTACTGTTTCACTCAGGAGCAGCCCCTCCTCCAAACACCAAATAAGTATTCTCTGTTTCAGTTGAATGAGAACTGAGATTTATAGAAAAATAATTGTCTTTGCTCCACAGATAGATTTTTGAGAGTTAAAAAAAAATTATGATTAATAGAAATGAGGTACAACATTATATTACTCAGGTAGACAATACCAAATGATGCAATATGATTATTTAAATTTACACTGATAGCAACAAATTATAAATTGTTAAGAATCGGATACAACCTAATAAGAGTTATTTCCCTTATAACACTACCCAACTCGTTCATGGTGTGACTGCTCGAGAATTTATAGAAATTGGGTTGTCCAATAATATATATATAAACTTTTAAGTAAAAAGTATTTTCAAATGAGTACATTAAGGAAGTTGTTAATCTTCACTACAACGAGAGGAAAGCAAACCAACTCACACACTAGCAAATTTACCTATATCAATAAACAATGCCTTTTAACTGGCCTCTTGTTCTTAAATGTGTTAGAATTAAATCACTATAGCTTTGCAAAAGGGAAACTAATGGTTTTAATCAACTTTTGAATATTAGGATATTTTCTCTGTTAAATTTTTAACAGTTATGTGCAACATAACAGAAGAAAAAAACACTTTTCATTTACTTATATAAGCAAATCCCTGAAAAGATCTTCAAGAATTAATCAGTATTAGTAATCAATTCTTTCAAGTCAATCACGTTCAATATCCCAAGAGAAATATCATGGGATAACTTGTACAATTTTGTTTTTATTTTCTCTTATAGATTTTTTTTTAAAATATGCATAAAAGTAAGACTGTTCTGTTGCAATTTAAGCAGATATTTAACTTACTAGCATATACAAAATAAAGGAATTATTTATGCATATATCAGCAATTCTACTTGGGATTAAAGAGTCTGCTTAAGATTATAGAGTACTATTTGCACACTGAAAATTGTTATGAATTAAACATATGCAGATACACATTGTATTTTATATATGTGGATGATGCCGATGGGTAATGAAAAATAGCAGTGGTTTTTTTTTAATCCTATGCCAAAGACATCTTCATAAAAGTTATTTACATACATCAAAGTATTAAAAAAAAAAATCATTTTGCATGCTAAGTATACAATTTATTTCAAAAGAAATTGTTTGAATTGTTTTATTTTGGTTATTATAATAAACAATCCCCTATCCCAAGGTTCATAGGTAAACATCTGGGTTATTAATTTTAGGTCCTCTGAGAAATGAAAAATGATGATATATTTATTTAAAGCCTTAAAATCAAAAAAGAAAAAATACATGAAATCAGTTTCTTGTTTTTAACTTTTGGCTGAGGAATTTATGGTTCAAATTTTGTTGGCATTATTCCATTTTCTTAATCTTTTAATGTTCTTTATTATAAAACATTGTGATAAATATAGAGTTTGGTTGAAATTGGTTCTGGTATTATTTACACTCAGATTATAGTCCTCAGCTTTGATGTAGTTATTACATTTCAGCCAGTGGCTTTGTCAATCCTAGAAACATCCAGGGAATTTCAAACTGAACCCTTTATTTAATCTAATTCAATCAGACCTGGTATATCTGTGAAAAATATAGAAATAATTATTGATTTTTATACATAGTAGAAAACAATGCTACAAAATTAAATTTTTTTTTTTTTTTTTAGTAATAATAGATTAAATATCAAATAATTCATTCCTATTACATTTACAATGAAAGTATTAATGGGTACCTAAATGGTTGCAGACAGTATAAATCAAGCCTGTGTGTGTATCTAAATTGGTTTTCTTATGAAATTCTGTTGACAAAAGGTAATAAATCTTTAATGTTTAAATCCTTACAGTATCTCATGTTTTCAAAAAAAGAAAATTCCAGTCAATTTGATTGTAAAAATTTATTTTTTTTAGCACAATTCTGACAGGTCCACAAATATTTTCATGCAACCTTTTTCTAATGCATTTATGTTTTATTTATTCATATTTATCAATTTAATCTTCACATCATTTGCATTCAGAAGTGGAGGAACAAAGCAAAATCCAGTCAAATAAAGAGAACCAGTCATAATGTTTTAATGATCATATTTAAATATCAATTTATAGCTTTCACCTCTTCCTTTCTAACACTAAATTTATATTATTTTTGTGAAACAAAAGAGGATTATATTTTAATGCCATAAGACATCTAACCAACAGAAAAATACCAATTGAAAAATAGTTTTAAAAATTTCAAGTTTAAACATAATAAAAAGTAAACCTAAGAAAATTGTGAATTTTAAAACTGTTCAGAGTTCTCAAATAAAGCTTAAGTACTTAGGAAATAAATTATAACATAGAAGCATATTTACTCAGTACTTAAGAGAAAGAAATTTAATTTTAAAATAATGACCATGTAAACCACTAACACAACACCAGTAAAAACATCTACACTCTAAAAAGTAAATTTTTGTTCAAGTAACCTAAGCAATCATTTCAGAGTCTTTTTGGTTGCAAGAAAATATTTTATCTCCAGTGTGTGTGTGTGTGTGTGTGTGTGTGTGTGTGTGTGTAACATTTGCTTGTTAAATGGATGAAATGAAAATATAACACTGTTTTCATGTCTCCACCCTGTGAGTAGTTGTGGTTTTTGGTGGACATTGGATGTTAGTCCTACCATCCAGTCTGAAATAGTTTTGTTTTGTAGTTGTCTCTAATCAAAAATTACACTTTATTTGCAAAATCACAAAGCATACAAGTTTCCCTGCAAGTTATCACTCTTAGACAGACCTTTTTGGGTGGGGGTGAAATGCAAGGTAAATCTATACTTACTTAAAAATTACTAAGAAACTGGGGATCCAATTGGAGAGGAAATTGCTTTATTCTCCAAATTAGCACAATACTGTTAAAATTCGCTAACAAAAATTGTGCTATGATATATTGTTTTTGCTATGTTATAGTAACAAACATATAGAAATCAAATTATTATTATTATATATTCTTTTAAACTTTAACTCCTGAAAACTCATGAATATAGTAAAGTAAGTTCATTATTCCAATTTTTTTAAATTATTTAATCAGATTATGAGATTCAGATTCTATAAAATTTAGTATATCTCCAGTTAATGTTTGGATTTTTATAATAATACCCTCCCACTTCTAGATATTAGTTTAACTTTTCACAATTGAATTTTTGCTTTCAATATACTTGGGTATAAAAGACAAACCATAGTTCAAATATATTAAAGAAACTATTTTTTAAGTCTATACACACAATACAAATCATACAAAATTTGGTATAACTTACTATCCCAAATTTTTAATTTATGTTAAAATATTTGAATGGCATGTATATGATATATTCCTGAATTATTACATAAAAATAATGAAAGTTGCTCTCTAGAATACACAGCCTTCAAACTTTGACTAAAACAAATAATCTCCTTTCATAAATCCTATATGCACCATTTGCTTCACACAATAGTCTATTTATAGATCTTTCAAAGGAAACTTGCCTGTTTGGGTGGATGAGTGTTTATTTTTCATGTATAGTCTTATTGCTCAAGCAACAATATCAAAACATTACAGAAAATATTAATATTTAATTATATTAAATAACTTTATTAGTAGCCTCCTTTTTATCAAGTTCATTTAAGTTGAAATAAGATTGTTTTGTGAACATTTCTAACAAAAGAGTAAATACAAAATTTACATACTTTTATACTTTCTTTTGACTGCTAAGAATAGATACTATGTTCTGATCTTGACCATAAAAACAAGAATGTTTTAATATAAATTTTTAAGTTGAAAACAAACTAGGAGGTTACTCATGTTGCAAAGCTACCAGCTATGCTTAGCAGATAACCCTAGACTGTGACAAGTAAAACAGTTTACTAGTTCATTTTTTTAATGTAACAAATGTTTACAAAAGACAAAGTTATATGATAGAAGTAGTGGACATTTGAAACTGGTTAACATTGTGTGCAAACTGATTGATTGAATGAATTTAAAAATATCAAAACATTATTAAGCTGTTTCTTTCCTAAACATCTGAACAGCTAAGTCTTCCCAAATAAGAT